CCAACAAAAAACCAGGCATCCCAGGCACTACTGTTGATGATATAAATCCTGCATTACCTTAAGGACCCTACACTATGGGAAGTACTGCGCCGGGCCAATAGTGCGACCCACTAGCTTGAACAACGAAGTTGACCACTGCACCCGCCCTCTTCCCCCTAGACTCCTAACACAAGTGAGCCTTGGGGCCTCCTCCGGAACTAAAATTAAAAAGTATGATAATTTTAAAACGAGGTAGAAGTTACTCCGCTAGCCTGCGTAGGGTAAACGACACTTTGAGGCACTCCGCTACTCCGCAAGAGCTTGTACGTTAGATAATAGACTTGTAGCTCGCAACTTTCGTCCCGGGAATGTATTCTAGCCCCCCGCCATGTGCCTATCGTCTCATGTGCTGGAGGGATCAACAAGCCACAGTCAAGATTCCAACGCGCGAGCAACGTGGGAGCCAGGGGGGGTTCCTTCAATTAGTCGTGCAGCTTACAGCTCTCCCCCTTGACAGGCAGACTGGCATGAATTTGAGCCATGCTAGACCCCTGCAATATACGGACGCTTCCCAGCATGTCTTGTAGAAGGGGACATGCTGCACATTACGCAATCATCGTCCATCACCAATCACCTGATACTATTAAATACGGCATTTATCATCGAATGTGTGACCTGGTTGTGATGCACGGCCAATGATGATGATTTGGCGTCAAACATCTCCGTTTGTGCAATGTACACTTACCTATACTACACTACAATTGAGGCCCTTTGTTGATAGCTTGTCTTGTTATTCCATGAGGTGTGGTTCAATGGCAAACAAGTTCATTGTCTGATGTGATGCAAGCCAGGATCTGTAGGGGCATGCCAATCAAGGCGGCAACCGAAAGCAAGTTATCAGCATAGGTGGCAAGCGAAGACATGATCACTTTGTGGTCATACCAAGTACAACTAGATTAGATAATTACTGTTTCTCGACTTTCTAACTCATATTTCAATTCGAACATATCTATGTAGTTAGGAGTAATGAATTGAATAGAAGCAAGGGTCTATCCATACATACACGCGCACATGCATGCATACATGCACACATACTTGCATGCTTGGTTGCTTGGCCATACCTACGAACAACGCTTCGGCAGGACAAGTCACTATTCTTGAACGACAGCTGGAAAGGCAGCACCATTGCATCCATCAGGACAACAAGCCTGTCAGCATTGCAGGACAACAACTTCAGTTGATGTTCCAAGTACCCCATGAACTTGTTGTCAGCACAGTGGAGTTGTTCTGAGAACTGCACATTACGTAAATATCCCACACCAGCTTGCTCGTCCAGCTTGGATCCACAAGGCAGACTTCTCCCGGCGTTTTGAAAGGTACTAGCACTCCGGCATCATCAGCCTTGGTCTGTACGTGGTAATAAGGGGACGGACTGATGGCAAGAGTTGAAGCCGGAGTCGGAAAGCAGAACTGATAGAACATGCTTAAAAGCACATGGCCCTGACACTTGGCTTAAGCCTGCGCCTTTTTTGCCAGAACTTCACCAACTCCGGCAGTCATCCGTCCATCGCCAAGTGGCCTTTGGTGACGGAGTATCGCCTTCTGAGAACATCACTTCCGCATCTTCCAACGACCTTTCTCTTTGCACTGAATCGTCGAAGGATCGCTTGTGCTCCTGATCTTCATTAGCATCGGCATCTTTGTTGACAGATCCCCACACTGAAGTGCAGCACCAAGCAATTTCGACTCTGCATTCCTCATCTGCGTCTGCGCCCCGATGCCTTACTCCCGGCAAAGACATCCTCAGCCCAAGCTCATGAAACGGAAGATGCAGAGCAGGCAGACCACAACGGGTACATGATTGGGGCGAGACGGAGCTTGATAGCCCACGATCTGATGCTCACCGATCGGATCCGGTGGAGAACGCGGATCACGATCGGAGATGGCCTCATGCATGGGATCCAAGCTACGAGCCGACTGTTGTGCATGCAAAAAAAGTAGGCGTCGTTGTCGTGGTCACAGTTTGATGGCTGTCACTATCGTCGTCGTCATCGTGGTTGTCATGGTATGTCATGGTCGTCGTCGCAGTAGTCGTCGGCAACTTCCATGGTCGTCGCTACCACCATCAGGGACGGCTCCTGCTGCCGCTCTCGCCGTCGACACTTTCCTACATGTCAGTGCGGCAGGTGCCAGGGTGCTGGTGGTGGTGCTGCTGCTGCCAATTCATAATTCAGAGGCTGCCACAGCAAGCACCACCAACAACACAGCTTCTTGGCAGCAGCCCATCAAGATACAGCCGTATTCTCAACTCTATGCTCTGAACCCCTCCTTGCACGAGAATTACGGAGTGCCCTAGCAGACTGCGGCAGCTGCCCCACACATGTGCTCTCCTGAAAAGCTGCCGGATGTGTTGGCTCCGAATCACCCCGGCTTGTCAAGGCAACAGCAGCTATTGACTATCGAGCCTGTTTGACCTCCTCTTCCAACCTCTGCAAACATCGATTGATGTCTTCCTCGGATGCAGCGAGGCAGCCGTGCTGACAGTGCAAGTTCGGCACACCTTCATGAAGATTCAATACAGCATGCTGAGTGCGGACACTCACGTTGCAACTGAAGCCTGCCCTGAGATGCACTGGCCATCACATGCCGACACTAAGTGCAGACCGGCTTCGATTATCCCTTTCAGACTTTGCGCGCATTTGGCTTCAAGACGTCCTAATTGCTTGTCCTTGGTGGCATGCAGGTCTGAGCTTCCCATGGCTGCCCAAATGACACGTGGTTCTTAGGCACGCGCCAAGACAGAAGTCATGCATTTCAATGACTTTGCCACTTCGTGCACTTCTGCCAATTCCTGTCTTTCGAAAGGGAACCATTGAGAATGCAGAGGCAATTTCTCCTTGCTACTTATGAACCTAACAACAGCAGCACAGGTGAAAGCACATCTTTCGAACAACACCGCGCCTCGTGTGCTTTGCTCACATTGGAAGTGTCGACCATTGCCGTGATGCATCGAACGGAAAACCAGGCAATCGCAGAAGGAGGCTTGTCAAAACGAGGAAAACTTGGGCTAGCTAGTACTGATCATAGAACCGCTTGACTAAGTAGCAATTTTGTTGGGCTAGCAACATTGTAGTCGGAGTGCGCTGGATGTTGCCTATGTGTGTTCAGCGCCCCTTCTGCACTCAGCAGCTACGGCAGCCTCTAGGCCCTGTGAGCCTTGTGGCTAGCATGAAGACGAGGATAGCCGCCAGACCCAACATACGCCGAAATAGCAAGGAATGCTCGATGGGATAAACACCTGATCTCTGTTTATGCGTCTGCTACACAGAGCACAGGTCCGCCTCGCCAACCACACAAAGGCTCTGCCTGACAAGGACACGCATAGCTGGCCTGCCTCGAACCCCGTCATGTCCGGGATGTGGAATTCAGAGTGGCATGGAGTAGGACAGCTTCTTGCGGCTGAGGACTGGACGACTTTCCCTCGGCCGACCGTGCCTTTGCGTCCAGGGACTGCTCCAGTGTTGCTTGATGCCACACTCACGACACAACCGGGCACACGAACTGAAAGCAAGTGAAGACGAAAGTGTTGTGGTAGACCACGTGCCGAAATCTATGACGTCCGAGCTTTAAGTGGCCAGCCGTGGACGATTCCTCCAAGGCACCACTTGATAGCAACAAATAGTCGGCAGGGATTGCATGGCAGGCCAGATCTGGTAGCACGGTAGCAGTTGAAGGTTCCGCCTATCTTTCATTGCAAGCTGGTGGCATGGCAACATGGCCGAGTATTCAGCGATGGTCATGGCATCTTGCTGCCAGAGCGATGCGCCTTGTTCACCGCAAAAGCAGATCCCAGTCCCACACCTGACATGCACAACACGTGCCACGATTCGGCCAAGTTAGCATGATGTCCAGGACAGAAGCGCTTGGACCGCCAGTCGCCTGCTAAGGTCAGGAAGGCTCGATGTGACCATGCCTGGCATCGGAAAGACCCACAAGACCAGCTGCGCTTGCGACACGATTGAAGTGCCAAGTGCCCCACAGCATCTTTAGCTGCACCAGCCGTCTGCGACCCAAATCTGGCGGGAATGGCGAGAACCAGTCTTGCTAGCTCAGCAATGTCAATGGTCAGGTACACACACACACAGAGACACAGAGACACACTTCTAGCGGCACGAACTGACAGGCTGCCTGCACGCACCCTGCAATGGATGCACCCCCCAGGCAGCCCGCAGGCATGTGCCTCCGGTTTGGCAACATAGGCTCCAGGGCTTGGCTTTGTTATGAGTCGCGAACGTGAGGTCTGGCCAGAAAGCCAGGCCTCAGATGCGTTGTGTCAATGTCGGAGCCTTGCCACTTTTCGAGCTGACTAGCTGAGGCTAGAGCTCTACAACCTTGCAGCATGATCCCGCAGCTTGTCTCTGGCCGAGCGATGCATGCCCTGAACCAGAGGAAGGCATAGATGCCAATGCTTTACTTGTGCTGTGCACGCACTAACTATTGCTGTCTCTGCAGAACGAATGCCATGCCGGCCGAACCAAGGCAAGCCCTGCCGCAAGGTTGAAGGCTGCGCGCGGGCCGCATGAGCCACAAATGCGGACACCGTCGGCTACTGTGCAGAACAACTCGGCGAATCTGTGCATTTTGCACGTGCATCTCGTCAGGACCTGATCATTGACACATTGCCGGCAATCGGTTGCTCGCGCAGCGTCTAGCACCAAACGTTCTGATATTTTTCACCGGGTGCGCGGAGTAGTGGCGAGGTCTAGAGTCTAGGTCTTGCCCTGCAGGGATTTAGACCTTGAGCTCCCATTGTGCACGAGACTGCTGATGAAGATGTACTAGGGCAGCGGCCGGCCAGTTGAAATGAAGTAGCGCGCCACCTTCCGAGTGCAGCAGGGTGCGAAGCCGTGATTCAAACTGAAGTGAAGTCATGCTCATGATGTCATTTTCCCTCCTCGGCACACAGAAGGCTCTCCCCACAACATTGCACAGTCTGCAAGTATGCGACTGCGGCAAGTGGCTGAGATGCCCTTGCACATGCACTGAAAGCAGAGTCGCAGCTGAGCTCATCCGGCAACTCCTCTTGTGACATCATGTCGGTCACTAGTGCTGCCGCTTGCTGCCACTTCCCATTGGGGGCAAGTGAAACAAGAGCTGCATTGAAGCTTGTCCGGTCAGCACTGTACGGAGTCCTTCGAAGATAGTACGCGGCTCATGACATCCAGCATAAACATGTACACTGTGCACGTGTGAGTGCAAGCAGGCGTCAGCAGCCGCAGCAAGTGTAGCGATGCTTGCCAGAGAGCCACCCGTGCACATGTCAGCGTGATGGAGTTGAGTGTGATAAGCGAGGGCAGCACGCTCAAGTTTGCGAAGTGCTGCAGAAGCGCCTGACATCGCTGCTTTGAGGTGTGCTAGGTCTGCCACGAGTAGGTCTGGGTTTCGATGCAGCGAGTAGCAGACACGCTTTCGCGGGGGTGCAACACGGCATTGCAACGAGAACGCGTTCAGCCAGTTGCGTGAATTGCGTGCAGGGCACCGCAGCCATAGTCCAGCGACAAGCGTTCTCACAGGCGCTGATTGCACTGCTGCAGCTGACCATGTCAGTGCTCAAGCCGCCGGCAGGCATCAGTGACACCGCTGCCAATGCAGCCTGCCACCCTGTAAATGCTTTGCAAAACGGCAACTGTTGGCGAGTTAGTCTCTTAGGTGTCGCCTACAAGGAGCCACTCCAAGCGCAGCCAGGCAGCGACTGCAGTTTTCCAGGGCACTTACCATGGCGCTGATGAACACTTCATCTGGCCTGATGCTCTTGGAGTTGGTCATGTCTCCCACCACAGCTGCAGCAAATTGCCAAGCAGTCCCCTTTTCGCATGCAGAGGTGGTTGCGCTGACGGCGCGCCTTCGCGAAGCAAAGACCGTCTCATACCGTACAGATGAACTCACAGGATCGAACATCACGGCCATGTCGCCCAAACCGTGAGGAGACGAGCGGCAAGCGATAACAAGCACCGTCTTCGGCAGCGGCTTTCAGACGAACAGCTGCTCTTTGCCACTGCCCCTTCTGCTCCATCGCATGCAACATCGCAAGGTGACCTATCTACAAGACGGAAAGTTAGGAGATTCGCGCAAAAGCACCGTGCAAGCACAAGGTCGAGACAAGGACTCGAGATTACTTCGATGGCACCTCCTTCAGTAGCTGCGTCAGTTTGCAGGGACGTTCGTCTAAGCTCTGCAAACATCGACAGCGCCTTTTCCCAGAGTCCTGCAAGCTTCTAGATGGGTGAGCCTTGCGTGGATCTGGGTCTCTCTGCTTCCTACATGCAAGGCAAGCTCTTCAGAGTAACATAGCGTGGTGCACAACAGCCACTTCGCGGACAGCCCCGGCAACTGACATGACGGACATGATTTGTCGTCACCACACGACTTGTGCTTACCATGCTTGCGACATGTCTGCTGGCAGAAGCATCCTCGCCGTCCCAAGGCGGTCAATGTGGAATTGAAAGAGATGCTGTCTGCGGGTGCGCGTTGGATGCCTTTGCGATCGCTAACAAGTGCTAACCACCTGCTACAGACTAACATGTCCTGCAAGCGGCAGCAGAGTTTAGGCCAGAACACGCATGCTGCAAAGCCAGCGAGAAGCTGCTGCCCATAAGGCTCTTCGAGACAGTGCAGAGAGAACCTCAGGTCTGCAAGCTGACAGTTGAACCACACCAAACATTGAACTTAGGCCCGACAAAGATGAAGTCATGTGCAGTGCCTGTGAGGCCGGGAAGCTGTATTAAAGCTGACACTGTCGAGGGCAACCGCTGCTCTGGAAGCAAGAGCAGCAGACAGGGACCACTTGCCAGCAACGTCAAGGGCACTCAACATCGTGTTGTAGGTAACCGTGTTTGGGTCGGCCGTGTGGCTCGTTGTGGAAAGAAACCTTAGTGACTTGGCGGGGCAACTCAAGTGGCATGCAGCAAATTGAATCGCCTCCGGATCGGAAATGCCAAGCATCCTCCAAGTGCCTGATTGCCTACCTTTCTACATACACGCACACTGCCCTGCGTCTTCACTTTCGATGGCGCCCGCTGCGGCCTCTTGGCCAGCTTTGGAGTCGGTGACACTAATGTAAAGATGCAAGGCTCCCAGAAGTTGCAACCCGGCAGTCGTGATTGTAGGCTACTTCGCAAGTCGCTGCCACATTCAGCGTGTCAAGGGCCGTCCGAGAAGCATGTCAGCTGCCTGCTTCCATTGCCAAGGGCGGCAGCCTTAGCGTCGCTGCCAGGATATGACAGCGAAAACGCAAAATAGCAACGGAGAGTTTTTGGCGATAGCTGTTCCAAAAGACCGAGAGGCATGAGACCGCTGCATTGTGGTGAAATATGTTCAGCTGAACTTGCCCACGCTGCAGTACACGCAGGACATACCCTGGACAGGTGCCGAGCGAAACAGATTGGACGATGCCTACAGGCCCGCAATTGGTCTTCGAAAGAAAGTGAAGCAAACGGCAAAGCAAGCCCACCTGGATCCTGTGTTGTTTGACTGCATATCGGGATCAGTGCCGTTGCCAACTTTGGGCGCTGCCGCAGAACTGCAAGCCTTGGGTTGAACAGACCTTAAAAAGAAAGTTGGACTATGACCTTAAGTAGTGACATGCGTGGATGGCAGTGGCTGCGGCGAAGCAGCTTTGGACGAAGTATTACCTCCGGGTCAACAGGCAGCTCATCGGCCATCCCATAGGCAAGCAGAAGGCAAGACGTGCAACTCGGATCGCAAATTCTGCATTGCGCGAGGCACTTGAGCATGCCAGGAAGAAGGTCCGTCGTGCATCCACTGCCTGTGCTGCAACCTTATAACCATGCGCCTGTCCGTAGAGATTGTGCGCCGAAGATGCGTCGAAAATGCTACTGCCTGCGCTGGAACGCGCAGAAGCCACGCAGCAGACACCGCAGAAGCCAAGCCTACTCGCATGGACGATAGCGGCTTCTTGAAAGCTAGCGCCTGTCCACTTCGCGACCAGGAGCGTGAACAGGACACGAACAGAACATGGGTCAGCACGTGTCAACTTGCGATCTGTCTGAGAAAATGGCCACCCCACGACTGAGCAGCAACTGCGCGCCCCACACATCTCCGCCTCAAGCCAAAACACCCTGTCTAAACTGGCATTACCCGTCGTGACTCCTGGGTGCAAACCCCCGGGGGAGACCCAGACCCTTTGCAGGAGTGGACTTGTGATTCGTACTGTTTGGACTCTTCGGGTGTCTGAGTCGTCGGCGCTCAAGGAGGCGGATGACCGCAGCATTGATCCGAGCAGCCTTTGGCCTTGCTTTGCTGAGACCGTTTGCCATCCACAACAGAAGCCCGGGCCAAGGCCCTGGCTTGGTTTTAATGTCGAAAAAGTTGATTATGTTGCAAATTCGTATCCTGCCGCCGGCGAGTCTGAAGTCAAGTCCTTGCTGCGACACTGGCCTCACATCATCGAAGCCAGCGTCTCTCAATCGAACTGCCTTGCGCAGTCACACTCCGGAAAACGCTCTAGAAGACGCTCTCAATTCGGAGCACCTCTAGGTCAGCGGTGATCGCTGAGTAGAACATCTTCTGCTTTGTGTCTACAGTGTAGTAATACCTGCATCCGGTGCAGGTCCGCAAATTCGCTGCTCCGTTAGACAGCTCGCAGATGACGGCGCACGATCTGTCGAAGCTGGCCAAACCAATCCTCTTTTCCAGCCTAGTCATGGCTTAGCCCAAGTGCCTGAAATCTCGATTGACGAAAGCCGGATTAGAAACCCTGTGGGAAACTGCTAAGCAGGCAACCAGGACTGCACTGCTGGTCGGCTGGTTTCTCGGAAAGCCTGTCGCATTGCCTGAGGCAACAAGATCACCGAGAGGTTAGGACACGCGGACGGTGGCTAGTAGCAACACGACATGTCAGCTACCGCGCCAAGCCGTTGCACGCAGCATTTCTCACAACATCTAGCGACCGCAATGACGATGCTTGGCATCTTCTTTGGGTCAAGGTGGTGTAAGGTGGAGTGTGAGATGGTGCGGCCAACAGATTCAGCAACTACAGTACCGGGCACACCTTTAGAAATCAATGCCGTCTCTCTTTACATGCAGGTAAACTGATTTAGACGCATGAGTATACACACATAAATACATGTAAACCCTACATATACACACATATATATATATACATACATATATATATATATATGTGTGTGTGTGTGTACACGTATAAGACAGCAAATTTGGCAAGGGCTAGTAAAACATCTGTGCTACAATGAATTTGCCCGGCCGAAACACCTCACACTGCAAGTGGCCTTTGCCAAGTCACCAACGGCTGAGAAGCCACGTTCAGTCAGGCCCATTGAAAGCACGCTTGATTGCTAAACGCAGTGCGGCCATGAACGGCTTGACTTCTCAGTGAAACTTATGCAGCTACAGCAAAGCAGCTGCAAGCTGCAAGGCTGCCAAATATCCACATTTCAAAGGTATACCTGCGCAAGCTGCAAGAATGGTCGTCTGGAAATTGGTGGCCCTTCAAAACACCATACACTTCACCTGCTAGTTAGTTGACTTACCAAGCCCCCTTGTGACCGCCACTAATCCAAAAATTGTACCTGGCAGATCTGCGCGAACTTCAGTCCTCCCACTTGACCAGGTTTCCATCCTGCATCAGCAACCCTAGTCCCTGGGCATTTAATTGGTGGACTCGACTCGCTTCAGCAACGTCCTCCCGACTTAACAATGTCACAGCCTGAACTGCGGCAGTAAGTCCTCAAAGAGGCCAGTCTTTGTCCTGTGGCTGGCTGCCGTATACCTGCATGCGCTGTCAGGATACCCAGCCTTGACAGTCTGTTCATGGGCACACCTGCCGCGGCCATGACGCTTCCCGTTCCGCCATTCGCCGTTGTAGCTCCTGCTGCTCAGGATCTGGGGCTTTCGGCATGACAGGGGCCGCAGCGACCGCTGGGCTGGAAGGTCCTTCCGTCTGGCCAGCGGAAGACACCGGTGCCTTGAACAGTCGCTGAAAGGTCCGTGCCGCACGAGAAGGCATAGCAAGATCCCCACCATCGCCATCTAAGACTGCCCACTCTGCCCAGCCATGATCACTGCAGTTCAGAGCCCCGCCGTGCTTGACATCCTCGAAGAAGTCGCCTGTGCCAACGCCGCGCAAGACGCACCAGGTTGCATGTTGAACAATCTCTTCGTTCCAAGCGACTCCAACAAGCGCCCCTTGCCTTCGTAGCTACGACCATCGCCATAGCTGAACGACCCCTTGCCTGAGCAGGTGTGCAGAATTTGAGTTGTCTTGTACTGCTGCCCCCAGCTGACCATTACGCTTAGATGGGACCGCATAGGATTCGCAGTGTTCTCAATCTTTCTCAGTCTGGAGCCGTGCATCGTGTTCCTCTCCCACCTTGGCCCAGGAATTAGCTGAGGTCTCAGCTGCCGGCGCCAGGCGCTGCAACGCTCTGAGTCAAGGACTGGCCGGTGTAAGCACGCCCATCAGACCAGTTGTATGTTCCAGTGCCGCTCCTTACACCACGAATGAAGTCTAACTCGATTCCGACTGCACTGATGGCAAGTACTGCCGATCACGCTCCCCAAGTCCGCGACATGTTGTTGGATTCAAAAGTACCATCGTACTTTGAGCCATCTGGCCACCTTGCTGCTCTCTGAACCGCAGCATGCACAACGTATACAAGCCGTACAAGTGTGCCATCCCTCAGATGCCGACAAGTACAAACCGTGACCTGGGTCTCTCTCTGACAGTTTCTGCTGGTTGTGGATGGGCTGATCCGTTTTATCATGGGCAAGCCCTCTTGCAGCACCTTGCGGCAGTACATATGCCGGCCGACCCTAGGATTTCGAATCAGCTGGGGCGGTGGCCGTGCTTCAGGCCTTGGAAATAGCTGCCCTGGAAGCGGCTTCCGTCTGGCCATACCTGCCACAAGTACTCCCCAAAAAGGAGGGTGGGTTCCTAGGCCCCCGGGCCCGAGGGCCAGGCCTCGACTCCCTCCCCGTGATGCTTGTCACAGGCAAACTGCCCGGTGTACTTGGAGCCATCGATCTTGGAGACATGGTTTTTTGTTATCCACTGCATCTGGGATCTGACTCTAGGCCGACTCTAGGCCGAGGGCATACATGGCAACGCCGTAGCCGTGCTGCATGTCATCGAGAAAGTTGCCCTCGTACCTAGCAACATCCAAACCCTTTCAGCAGGCTCCAGCTTTCTAAGCGTGGCGAGGCGTGCCAATCGCCCGCAGCATGGTGAAACTTCCCCATGCCCTGAGCCTTGTCCTGCGTGCCAAGTCGACGCGAAGTTTGCTTTCTTGTGCATTCAACTGTTGCGTCCGACTCTCCTTGACCCATTGCCCAGTGTATGAGGCTCCATCGGGCCATTGTTGTATCTCAGCGAAAGCTGACAGTGAAGCGAAGACGAAGCTGCATCAAAGGTTCTGCAAACCGGATCCGAGATGACATGTGAAATGCTTTCGGCGACTGGTAATGCAGCTTCACTCACGAAAATCTGTGTGCTCGCGCCCCATACCCTTCTCGTGCTGGTCCAACCCACTGACCTCGCAAAACGGGCGTTGTGAAGCACACCATCAGTTTGCAGGATAGCGACATGGGACTGCAGTGCCTTCATAGACGGCACCATTCGGAAACCTCAGCAGGCCACTTTTAATGTGCTCTTCAGCAACAGAACAGCTCTCAAAATCGGCCGGGTAACTCGTGAGGTGGACGCTGCTGACGCTCGCTCTCGGGGTCGGCCTCCCGGTGCACGAAAGCTCGGCCGACGCTGCAATACACGACATCACCCCAATGGGCCACTCTCCGTAGGACCCGGGCGGTTCGGGCCAGAATTCCCTCACAAAGAAATGAACATCGAGGGCTGGGAAAAGGAAGGAACTAGCGAAATCCGGTTTTCACCTGAGGACGCCGCCCAACTTGACTGAGAAGCTCCCATGGTCTATGTTGGGCACACCTCCAGCGCAACTCATGAGGTTCAATGATCGGACTGTTTAGCAGGCCGACAATCCCCACCCTGGGCGCACCTGCAGAATTTCTATCCGTGGCCTACAAGTGTGCTAGGTCCTGTCACACAGGCTCGCCATATGAGGCTCTTGGTTCGGACGAGAGATGAAGAGCGTCGGCATGTAGGTTAATGTCTCTGAAGATGTTAGGACCCAGCGGCACTATGGCTCACTATCGAGATCCATTCGCTCGCGCCCAAAGCACAAACTGCGAAAGGAGGTGGTGAAATAGTTTAGTTACTAACGAGAGAGTCTAACATGTCTAACATCCATGATTCTGGAGCTCCCTCCGCCGGCCTCCCGACAACAAAGCGGCCCGAGGAGCCACGTGCAACGATGAGACGCTACTTTTCAGAACTGAGAATGACAGATGATACTCTTGTGTGATCTATGTTGCCTGCCTTTCTTGCGAGGCTCGAGCCGATTAGAAGCACTCTTGTTTGATAGCCCAGCCAGGCATTGCCAAATAGAGTGCAACTGGTTCCCATTCGCATCCGACCGTCCCTGACGACTGCAGAGATCGCCTCAAAGACACGCTGAAACTTGACCTTGCAAGGGTGTCGATTTCCTAGCTGGACGGCCCGGGTTTACGATGTCAAGAACTTTGCCGCATCAAAGATGACAAGACAGCCACGGCTCTCTTTGAAGTCCATACACTTTGCAGGAGCATCCGACCAAGCTCAGACATGTGATGTCACTTCAGCATTGCCCTATTGCCGTGTCGATTAGCCTACGGCACAGCAGGCACAGAAGCTTCGAATGAAAGCTGAACGTGCAAAACTGGGTTCGCTCGTGCGCACCAGGATCTGGAGATCATGGCTAAAAAATCTGATAGATGAGATGCCTCACGTCACATTGCGGCTGCACAGGTTCGACCAGGGCAACGGCATGGTTGTTCGTGCTGGAAACAACATTCCTTGGCATGCTTCGGCACATATCCCTTGCTAGATCGGCACATGTGGAAACAGCATGGCCCCGACTATCCCAGCATTCAATGCCCCCGAGATGCATGAAGCTTTTCGTCAACTGGCTCAGCCTCGGCAACTTGACTACTGTGTACGAAATTTAATGGCCGTAGTGGTCCCAGGTCAGGTAAACGGCTCACGACCAGGCTGCAGAAGATGTAGAAGTCAGGAATGGTAGGAAGTGGAGCATAAAATAGCTTGGAACCCGGACATCGCCATGATGTCCTCACATGGATTTCCACTACACGGCAAAGGCTCAACATGCATGAAGTGGTCCCTCAAGAAGCGGGAAAGTGCTGAGCACGAATTCCGGGATTGATTGTGTGCTTAAGAGTCGAACGCGTCGCGACAAATTGAAACTGGCTCGATAGACCAATGCCAGGCATTCCTGACGCCACTGCACATCTCAAGAATATCAGCTGATGTTGAAACTGGGATGTAGTCCGCACCGTGGACCCATGCGACACCGAAAATATCAAATCTTCCATCCACGCATCCTCTTCCTTTCATCCATCCGCTGCTATTTTACCCATCCATCCATCCATATCCAATCATGTATCCATCCGGCCACTCATCCATCCATCTACCCATCCATCCATTCATCCATGCATGCACGCGGCCCTTCTATGATGCGTTCTAATCCCTTCTATGAACCCGCTACAAACGCCTCCATAAAACCTTCTAGCAACGTTCTACACTTCTACAAGCTTCTCTCTAAAAGCCCTTCTATACACATTCTGGTTTAAGCCCTTCTATATACTATTCTGTAAACACTGCAAGCCCTTCCACAAACCTCTCGAGAAACCGTCAAACCCTTCCACATACACACCCTCCTAAAAATCTCTGGAAGCCCTTCTCTAAGCCTTTCTGCAAATCCTCGACCAAAACACCCCTGCCCGGATTCCGCGAGCACCTATCGTCGCTGCACCACACGCAGTGCGAGTTTGCTTCCCCCTTGGGTGTCTCAATTCAGAGACTGTTAAAATTGATTTGTCCTTGCATATGCTGGCGGGATTCGGGCATGTTCCCTATGCTAGAATGAATGCGGCATTTCGAGGTCAACACCAGGCCAACGGCCGGAATTATGATGGATCGCTCGGAGGGCACGGACACGAGAGAGCTGTCAATTCCGAGAGCACGTGTGGTCGCGGCACCATGCGAGGCTTGAGCACCTCCCCCCATGTACTGGCGGGATTCAGACACATGTCACAAAATCTTCCCCCATGTACCAAGGTGTCATTTCCAGGCCGAGTACGGGAATTTACAGTAAAGCAGGACACGTGTTAGGGGGCGCGGCGACTCCCTCTTGCCGTGCCCAGTGTATTCAAACCTCGTGAATTGGATTATCTAGACGGAACCTCGCGAAAACCTCATATCAATTGAGTCAGCCATCAATCATCAATCCATCCAGCAAAACCCTTCGGAACGCCCTCGGGAAAAACTTTGCGTGGACGGCATTTGTTCTGGACGTCATGCTGGAGTTGCAGCACTCAAAGTCCCTCGTTTCAACGAGCTTGTGCCGCAGTTCGCAGTCAGACTTGGAAACACCTGAAACTAGCAGCCTGGGACTTAGGTTTCAATCCCTAAAGCCGCAAGTTCGAACCTAGCAGCTTGCCGCGGGGGCTCAAAGTCTCACGATTATGCATACAGCAGCTACTTTTATTGAACCCTGACTCTGCTGATTTCACACCCGCCAAGTCACATGCTGTATGGGGCGGAACCATCCCAATCAAATTGGCAGCTGCCCACCCGTCTGTCCTCTGCGCTGAGTCCAGGCAGGCGCGGGATAGATGAGAGTGTCCTGGTCATTGGTGCTTCATTCCATCGTCCTCTAGAAACCACGATAGTATAGAAGCAAAACTTTTGTCACCATGATCAGCAGTATCATGCAACCCACCATCGCCATCCTCACCGGCATCGCCATCATCCTCATCTAAGTCATGCCGGGGAAGGAGGAAATAAGATCAAAGCTGCCACGGAAAGCGAAGCAGAAAACAGAGACGATATTGGAACAACGACGCCGGCAATGAGGGGAGTAGTACGAACACGGATATGACATAGCAGAAGTCGTAGCAGATCATCGCAAGAGAAGAGTGATGCTTCGTCCGACATCCGTCTTGTTGCAGTTCGGGTGGATTGAATGGGAAGAATCTGAGCGCGGGACCCCCAGCCTTAGAAGAAAGCCCGTTGAAACCAGTCACTGCACAAAAAACTGTGCTCGACGAGATACAACTTCAAGGCACCAGCCATCTAAGTCCAATGCCAATGACGGCTAGGTCAAACACAGGCTCCCATCTTCGTAGCAACTCGGCCAGGGCATGACACGGAAGAAAGCACAAGAAGTCAATCGGCAAATGGGTGCAGATACAGACAGGTTACTTAGAAACCTTGAGCGGGCAAGGATCGAGATGCACAGACCTCCGACAATCAAACCATCTCGACATGTGCGGCAACCCTTCCCTGTGCTGAAAAGGGAACCGCCAGCAGGATCGAAATCCTGACTTGTACAGTAGGCCCACCGCTGCCCCCACCCCCCACCTCCTGTCTTGACTGTCCTTGATCCACGTCTCCGAAATCTGCCAGCAGCTGACCACCAACATGATTTTCGAAGCATGCAGCTGCCTGACCACCTGAGAACCGAGCAACACTCTCCGAAACTCGCATGTCGTAAATCTCTTCGATACCCGAGATACGCGATGATACACGTACCAGGATTTTCGGCCAATGACCCAGCCCCGAGCTATCAGCTCGCGGATCTCGTGGAGCTCAGCCGAGACACGCTTGACTTCGACGGTCCGCCTTTGATTCCTACCGAAGTGGAAGGCCTCCACCTACGAAGCCCAACCTCACCCAATCCTCACACACGCGTAGAGCGGTGCTCGTGGACATCCGCCGCCGAGCCGAATGCTCGAAAGCATTCAAGGTTGAACGGTAATGAAACAACACACATGGCCTCACCAACCTCCAAAGCCGTCATAGAACAGCTGCCCAGAACAAACCTTGGCCAACTACAGCAAATCCAGGTCGCGAACCCCCTAATTACATCCTATACGCTTACTGTCCATGCAGTGCAACATGCAAGAAGCACAGAAGCAGACAGCTTGACTGCATCATGGACACCTTTCACAAGTCCAAAAAACTTATCAACAAAATCCAACAGGAAAGTGAATAACTTAACTACAAACATCTCCAGAGCAGCGAGCGCAGTGATTGCAATCAAAAGGAACGCGGCCTTTTGGTGGCTGGCACGCGCTTGGTGTGTCGCGCATCGTCCGGCGAGCCACACCCGAAGCATCTGGCACCAGCCCAGCTGGAAGGATGATGTCGAATCGATAAGAATCGTAAGTCTGGCGTTCTGCAGCAAGGGCTGCTCACTCATCTGTTTCTGTGGCACTCTCCTGGCACAGAAGGGGGTCTGCATTGCGAGATTCGCAGCATCTCTCAATGCTCGGTCAGCCGGCTCAATCAAACCTTCCCTTCTGCATGTATGCCAACGCCTTGTTCTAGCCGCTTCGAGCCCGGAACGGTGAGATTTGCAACCGAAGACATGCTAGCATAGCGGAGCATCGTGAAGAACACCCAAATCCTCCAAATGGCCTCAGTCTCGTCCGTGCCCGCTTCTGAGCCAGAATCATTCGCGTTCAAGGGATCCACCATTCCTCGGTGAAGTCTGGAGGCACCGGCCCTGAAACCGTATTGCATCAGACCATATTTGAACTGTACCGGCGAGGCTCCGAAGAGGCTGACCATCTCATCGCCACGCCGGGCATCCACTGAACGCTGTGATGGGATCACCTGCGCGTCAAATCTATGACCTAAACGGCTTGGTGGTCGAGGAAGAACCCTTCAGGAATGTCAACGGCCAAACAGCGGGCATCACAAGCTTGACCATGATTCCGTGGAGAACCATCTTAAGCATGCTCCTCGCACGGGCTATCTTCATATATCTTCAGCTCGAGCAGCCGGAAGTCTCGAGGAGCGGATACCGCCGGGGAGAGAAGCCTTGTGACCAATGCGCTTCAGCTTAAGAATGTGAAGCTTCAAAAGCAGTTCTTGGATTTGCAGCGCAGACACGGAAGAACCCTTCCTCTCAACAGCGGCGAAGTCCGCCTCGATGTAAAACTGCTGAAGGCAACAGCAGGCCGACAAGAGGCAAAAATGCGGCAATGGGCATGACAGAAGATCTTGACATATCATGTTCACCCTACCGCTTACTGGCTTCCTCGCTTCAGATCGCAAGCATCCAGTCTGTCGGGAGGTTTTGGGTCTTGACGCGAGGCAGAACTTCTAGGGCGCTGTGCCAAGGCGACAAGGCCCTTTGGCAATCCAGTGTCACCAAATCAAACGAGGCCAAGACTATCAGCTGAGGAAGGGCACCCTCATTCCTAGGCAAGCCATGAGCAGAGCTCATTGCTGCAAAGCTGGCAATGCCTCATACAGGTACTCGTGCTCTGTGCGATTTCACGGCTGCCGGCCAAGCATCATTTTGGCGGTTTCCGGAACCAACGCTTTAGACAGAACCTGCAGGCCCACCCTTCATAACGCAACTGTTTGCGGTTTTAGTGCATTGACGACGGGTTCTCAGGCCGCTAGGTTCCGGACTCGATATTTTATGTGGTGTAGGCAGCGCCAGACTGTGTCATGGTGGATGTGCATTGGCTTGGCCTTGCCTGCTAGCATGTGCTCAGGAAATGTATTCCAACACTCAGCAAGTGCACCATTGCACCGCCAGTACTAGACGAAGGTAGTGCAGGGCCTTCCATCGGGATTCCCAAACACCTTCGGCGCGACAACTATGCAGGACACTGCACGATCATCCGGTGGCGCATCGCTGTGTCTGCAGAACATGCACAAGGGCGACGGCTATCTTGCGATGTAAGTCTATGTAAGCCTCTGGCTTCAGCAAGACTTTGGTCGTGCCCCCTTGGCTGCGCGCAAGCAACATCGAGCAAACCTTTGACCCGACAGAAGTTGCACAAGTCTCGCTGAGTGGTTCCTGAAGTAGAGTAGGGAGATTCAAGACCGGCTTGACGGATCGATGAAGTGCAAGAACTTCTTAGGAACTACTTTTGCATGTGCAGCTCATGCGTTGCCCTTCGTCCATGCATGCAGCATGCCAGCAAGCCGCCGAAAAAGAGCAGAAAAAAGACCTGAGGCGAAAGAGGCGATTAGCTTTCGCAGGACCGCCGGCGACAGCAGAACTTGTTCAACTTTGAGGCAAGCAACAATGATCAGAATTGTAGCATTCCGAAGAGTATCCCTGGTGCCAGGTGAACCCTCATCGACCCACGGCTCTAGCTCCAGCGTGAGGACCAAAGCAATTCCTGAGCAGATCTCGAGCGCAGAAGCTGACAAGAACACTGCAGAAGCTGACGAAGTTTGCAACACAGCATGTCATTGTCATTTGGCTTTTCGACGGTTCACCATTCAATTCTCGTTCAAACAGCATCGTCCAAGCGCAGAGCTCAAGCCATGCGCGTCACTTGAATGCACAGCCTTCAATCCAAGGTGCCCCCGCGCAAGCCAGCGTGCCACATCATGAAGATCTGCAGGACATTTCACAATACACGAGACATGGCCACAATCACGAACCATGATAGGAGGATGTTCAGCAAGGACGGTGGTGACATCGCGCCTTCTTCCAGTTCAATCTCAGACTCTTCTCCCAGCTCAGTGAGTGGCCAGCCACAGACTGCAAGCAGAATTGCTCCGATGTAGATGAAGCAACAAGCACGAGCAGTCAGCACCCGCGGCCTTGCAACCGTTGGTTAGCAGTGCAAGCGGCAACACCTTTGCCCAGACTGATCAGACTATCACAGTCGTACACCCGACTGCTGCACAGCATCCGAGGATGTGGCGGCAGCTGCTCTTCCAAGAAGGCAGAAGGCGATGACGAGACTTCCGAACACTAGACCTCAACTTACCCAAGGCCCAAGCGAAGTAGAGTCAACCAACCGAAGGCAAGTGGTGGCAGAAGCTGGTATTGTCGCTAACTTGCTGGATGCAAGTCCCACCTCTGCGATCGCAGTACACGGCCGTGATGCCAACGAAAAGGAAAACTACCTTTTATGCCAGCAAATGCTGCAACGCTCCGATAACATTTCTTGCGGTCTTTTGCATAAGGAGGTGGCCATGTCGGCTAGAGTGGCTGCCTGCTTCAGTGCAAAAGCACCTCGGATGTCAACATATCTGAGCGGATGTGTGCAAAGCGATCGACGCAATGGCGCGCTACGGCTTTCGGGCAGGGGAGGACAAGAACGCACCCGTCACCCGTCCTTTAGAGCTTGCGTGTGCCCCATCATGTTTGCCAAGGAAGGCCGCTAGCAACAAGTTCTCAACAGGGCAAGGTGCAGAACATGGTGGCCTCTGCAGAGAACTGCTCCCTTGCGAAAGCGCTAGCAAACATGGAAGCGAACAGCACGGTGATAATCCCTGACATCGAACACCTCGGACAGGTTCTTGCTTGAGCAGTCTGCAAGGTGTTTCATGACAGAACTTCGCTGACAGTAGAACCCAACAGTGTTCGATGCAGACACGGCGCACTCGCTCCGCAAAGCAGTAGATGAAAAAGCTGGATACAAAAACGAACAGTACACAAGGAGAGGTCTGGTCCGCCAAACCTGAGCACGGAGTGCGCAGCACAGTCGCCAGAGGGTTCCCTTCCATGAGGCTTCGTGACGTGTAACATGCTGATGCTTGAGTCGTTTAACGCCAACTTGAGATTCTAAGCCTGGGACGACAGAAGCGAGTAGTCAGCCTTGACAGTCTCAGGGCCCAGGTTGTGGGGATGCTGTGTAGCAGGCAGCGGGCAAATCCACAACGACGTCGGGTACGTGCCGCCAGGGCACATGAGCAGAAAGCCCAGAGCGATGCCCAGCCCGACAGAGCCGAAGAGCAGCAAGGCAGTCTGGGATCCAATGCCTCGGAGAGGTCGACACCACGTCGTCCTACATCCTCCTGCACCAAACTCCGCCGCTTCAAGGCCCTGGCGACCACTGACTTGGCCAACGCTCAGGTCCTCGAAACTCTCGGAGCCTTGCAGAAGTGCGAGGAATGCGCGGCGAGTCCATGCCACGGAGCTCTAAAGCTTAGCGTAAAGCTCCAGTTGCACCGCGCAGTTAGTCCAAGATTCTGTTCAGAACGCGAAATAATACGATGGCAACTGCATCGTTGACCTGAGTGCGGATCATGTCTCACAGTATGTGGCATAGCACACACGGCTTGAATCGCCCGACATGGTCCATCGACAAGAGATCAGCACGTTTAGGCGGTAGCACAAGCAATAAAGGGTCTCTACAGTCTCACTATCCAAATCGCTTTAGGAGTTGCATGATCTGCTACTAGAGCTAAAGCCGAGATACCCCGCGATGCATGATCAATGACCACGGCCCACGGCACATTTAGCAAGACATTGAGTGCCAAGGCTGCAACCCTTCACCCCCGGCCACACTCGAGCAGCCATACTTCCTTGGCCTGTCCGCAAAGCCAAGCCCCAAATAACCCGAAATTTCGAGTTCGCCGCCGCGTGCATACTGCATACACGCTCGTGCACGCACGCATGCCTCCCCGCACACACGTGCACAGAACGCATACACAGAAACACTCACTGGCACTCTTACTCACTCACTCACTCTCTCACTGGCACATGCTGATCCCAGCGCCATGATCTGGTGTTGGGGAGCTTCGGTCGGACCTCTCTCCTTAAAAACCCTCTGGCTTGTATATGGCGATGCTATGTGAGTTTCTTTACATAGACACATGATGATCAGCCTCTGCTTCCGTTTCAACTGCACGGCTCAGTTGGGTTGGTCAGCTCTTTGCTCTTTTGCCAACTTTTGCCCTGGCATTCGCCTCCGGGCTTGGTCAGCTCTTCGGGCGAGTTATCAGGCTTAACAAGCAGAAAAGTCATTTACTGCAGCCCCTTCTTTTTGACCCCACTGTAGTTTCGTCTTGGAATTCGTCCGCTCCTCGCATGTACCGATCTGCCATCGAGAAGCAGGTGCACATCGGCAAGGAGAATGTTGTGCCCAGCTCCAACTCCAAGTTAAGTAAGAGAGAGGCTCTGCATCGAGAACGGCTTGCTCTGACCAACTTTTCAACAACTCGGCGGCGACCTGCAAGGATTTTGTCCCACTCGGCCTTGCTTACAAAAAGGGTCTGCGCACCTGATCAAGCGGCATAACTTAATTTTGTCAGAGTCAGCGAAGGCTCCACTCTGACCTTCCCTTTCTTTCTTTCCGCACGTGTGACACTACCAGCTTCAAAGTCTGCCTTGCGGGGGTCTCCGGCACAAGCCCACATATCCAGGTTGTTTTTGCAAGGGGCGCGACGGCTGCCCGCACTGCTCAGCTTCTCCAAGGCTTACGGGCCTTACGGGGCGACTTATCCAGGGTTGTGCGCTGTGCATTCTGCGCCCCCAA